GCAAGGACTTCCCCAGTAGAACCCCAGCAGCTCAGCAACTAAGAGAAAGGATGGACAAATGGGACTTCTTAAAATTAAAAAGCTTCTGCACAACAAAAGAAATGGTCTCTAAACTGAAAAGACCACCCACAGAGTAGGAGAAAATATTTGCTAGCTATACATCAGACAAAGGACTGATAACCAGAATATACAAGGAACTTAAAAAACTAAACTCTCCCAAAATTGATGAACTAATAAAGAAATTGGCAACTGAACTAAACAGAACTTTCTCAAAAGAAGCAATTCAAATGGCCAAAAAAACACATGAAAAATGCTCACCATCTCTAGCCATAAAGAAAATGCAAATCAAAACCACACTAAGATTCCACCTCACCCCTGTTAGAATAGCCATCATCAAAAACACCAACAATGACAGGTATTGGCGAGGATGTGGGGAAAAGGAACCCTTGTACACTGCTGGTGGGAATGCAAGCTGGTGCAACCACTCTGGAAAAAAATTTGGAGGCTTCTTAAAAATCTAAACATAGACCTGCCATATAATCCAGCAACCCCACTCATAGGGATATACCCAAAGAATGCAACACAGGTTGCTCCAGAGGCACCTGCACACCCATGTTTATTGCAGCGCTATTCACAATAGCCAAGTTATGGAAACAGCCAAGATGTCCCACTACTGATGAATGGATTAAGAAAATGTAGTATTTATACACAATGGAATTTTACTCAGCCATGAAGAAGAATGAAATCTTATTCTTTGCAACTAAATGAACGGAACTGGAAAACATCATTCTGAGTGAGGTTAGCCAGGCTCAGAAGACCAAAAATTGTATGTTGTCCCTCATATGCGGACTTTAGATCTAGGGCAAATGCAGCAATGTGGTTGGACTTGGGTCACATGACAAGGGGAGAGCACATACAGGAAGAATGGGGAGAGGCAGGAAACCCAAAACATGTAAGCATTTGATGTCCCCACTGCAGAGGAGCTAATACAGAAACCTTAAAGCAACAGAGGTCAGTATGAGAAGGGGATCAGGAATCAGTGTAAAAATCAGTTAGAGATGAATCAATTCGGGTTGTAACACATTTGTACAAGGAAGCAATGCTTGGAATCTCTCTGTATAGCTTTCCTTATCTCAACTAGCAAAACCGCTTTTTCTTTCTTATTGTTGTCTATACTCTCTCTTCAACAAAATTAGAGATAAGGGCAGAACAGGCTCTGCCTGGAAGCAAGTAGGGGGGTGCAGGCGGAGAGGAAGGGGATGGGGGGCAGTGGGGAGAAATGGCCAAAACAATGTATGCAGATGTGAATAAATGAGTAAAAAAAATCAGTATGACAATGAAAAAGTGGGACCTGTTGAAACTATTCTAAGAATGGGGAAGGATAAAAGAGAATGATGGAGGGGGTGAATTTAACTAAGATACATTGTAAGCACTTTTGTAACTGTCACAATGTGCCTCCAGAACTACAATAATGATAATAAAAAAGCACTTTTTTATTGTTGAAATCTTAGAAAACTATGTGAGTTACACATGTACTAATATGCGACATAAGTATATTTGTGGAACACTTATAGTGCCTTGCAGACATAAGCACCATGAAAGTATCATGCATCATCATCCATTATTTTGATAAACACAACAAAAATAAGCTATTTTTAATATTTTGATGTATATTCATTACATCTTTCTAAGTATGTATATGACATTTTCAGTTAACAAAAATGAGCATAATGAACATATTTTCTTAAAACTCAATTCTTTTTTTCTTAATACATCCTAGTGTTTGCTCAGATCATTTCACAAACACCCACTACACCACTTGCATGGATACACAGGATGCCATGCTGTGAGTGTATTAATTTATTTACTTAATCCTCCACAGTTGGGATATTTTCTTGTTGCCATGCAGAGTTGCCACGTATTTTTTACTGTTAAAGATCTCTCACCCCCTTCCTTAAAGGATGAATGATCAGAAAGACTGTTTTCATGTAACTTCAGTTCGATGCTCAGCTCTGGGTGCCTTAAGTTAAGACATATCACTAACATACCCATGGCTGTGCCAGAGGCTACCAAGCCTGCACGTATGTCAGTCTTTGTTTTATTGCCTACGTCACATCAAGCTTAGATTTGACAGGAAGGAAACATCATGACCGTCATTAGGACACCACGACCAAAAATAGGTCTTGAAAACACCTAAGTGATGGTAAGAGTTTGCATGACACTAATACCCTGCACGAGAACACAGACAAATGCCACAAATGCTTTGGGGAAGGGTATTTTGCTACCTCCATTTAAAGGTCAATCTGATTATTTGAATTAATACTGCTGTGGTACCATAAGGAATATGGGGAACACCGTATCATCGGGCTGTGTTGTTTTATCAGCTGTACAGGTACCTAAAAGATGCGACAAGTTTACTGGGTGTAAGCTTCCTGTGTGCTGGGCCATGAGGTGGGTTTTATTTCAGGGTAGCAGCTTGTTTCATATTTTGGAGACAGTAACATGAAGATAAGGAAATAGAAGACAAGTTTGTCAAATTTCAGATGAAGTAAAGCCTTAAAGAATTAGTAAGCAATAGGTTTGGCAGAATTGGGAAATATTTATCTGAGATAATGTAAAATACTGCTTCCTTATTAAAAATGTTTTCACTCAAGTATTTATTAAATACTACTCAGAACCCTGTTAGGCACTATCCAAAGATGGTTCAATTAAAAAATTATTTTTCAGGCCTGGGAGCCAGTTGCTCACATCTGTGATCTTAGCTACTTGGGAGGTGGAGACTGGGAGGATTGGGGTGATTATGGTTTGAGGCCAGCCCAGGCAAATAGTTCACAAGACCTCCATCTCCAAAAAAAGCAAAGCAAAACAGACTGGCTAAGCAGTAGAGTATCCGCTTTGCAAGTGCAAAGCTCTGAGTTCAAACCCCAGTCTCACCAAAAAATACTTATTTTTTTTCAGGGTGACCATGGTATAACTTTCAGAGCAAGTGTACAGACTATAATTTCAAATTCATTTGGGATACTGTTTGCAAAATACATAGGGAAGTGTGACCAACATATACTCATCAATGTCAGGCTAAGGAAATAAAATGTTTTCTATAATTTCACCAATTTTCTAATTATAAAGCATGAATTATGTGCTCAAAATAGAACTAGGTCTGATAAATACATCAAAAAGAATAATTGAGCTGGGCAGAGTGGCTCACTTCTGTAGCCCCAGGTACTCAGAAGGCAGAGATCAGGAGGATCATAGTTAGAGGTCAGCCCCAGCAAAGTTTACAAGATCCCATTTCAACCAATAAAAGTTGGGTGTGGTGGTACAGGCCTGTCATCCCAGCTATGCAAGAAGCATAAATAGGAGGATATCAGTCCAGGCCAGCCGGGCTTAATTGCTAGATCCTATTTGAAAAATATTGCAAAGAGCAAAGGCTCAAGTGGCAGAGTGCCTGGCTGGCAAGCCCAAGGCCCTGAGTTCAAATCTCAGTGCCATACCCCACAATGGAAGAAATTGGACATATTCAGCCTGGAGAGAATGGTCCTTCAAACACAGGAGGGTTAACCAGGAGAATATGAGGTGTTCAGCATTGCTCCAGGTCAGGGGTGGCAATGAACAGGTTACATATGTAAGGCAGCAGGACAGGGATAGGACACCAGGGTCAGAAAGGGGCAGAGGAAAACTAAAGATACGAATGACCTCCCTAAAGCAGACAGCCCCAATGCTATTCCAGCTAAGGGAGCAAGCAAACTCAGGGGTGCCAGAGTATCCATTGTACAAGAAAAGCTAGAGGGTTAGGGGTGTGGTTCAGAGGCACGTACTTAGCATGTACAAGGTCCTGGTTTCGATCTCCAGCACCAAAATAAAAAAAAAAAAACAACCTAGAAATTCACTCAGATATTGTAGTAATTGACAATTTGTAAATGTTGACAATTTACTCAAAACAAAAACTTATAGAGTGCATTTTAACCTTCCCTATCAAACCCACATTTTTTGTTTGTTTTAGCAGCACTGGGGTTTGAACTCCGGGCCTCACACTTGACAGGCAAGATGCTCTCCCACTTGAGCACAACTTTGACCCTTTTTGCTCTGGTTACTTTGGAGATAGGGTTTCACTTTTCTGCCCAGGCCAACTTGGACCACAATCTTCTTATTTATGCTTCCTGCAGTAGCTGGGGTGACAGGTGTGTGCCACAGTGCCCAGCTTTTTTCTGTTGAGATGGGGTCTTGTGAACTTTTTGCCTACGCTGGTCTCAAATTGTGAACTTCCCGATCTCAGCCACCCTAGTAGCTAGTGTTACAGGCGTGAGCCACCGGCCCCTGGCTAAACACTTCATACTTTAGAGTCCACTTTGAGAATAGTCATGATAAAGACAGAACTTTTTGACCCACCCTAAACAGAACCTTAACAGTCTATGTGTCTAGCTGTTCAAGACAGCCATTCTTTGTGCTCCGTGAAACATATTCTTTCATAAGATGTAATCAATGATTGGGTTTTAAAACCAAAGTGTATGTGAATCAATTTCAAATAATCACCTAGATTATTCTGGCCATTTTTTCCCCTCTTACTTTAACAAATAAGAGAAAACAACTTCGATGCTATAAGAGAATCATACCTAGCTCACATGATGTGCTATTTTACACCACCCATGTGCCCTTCACAGTAATTACCACAGAGCTATGTTTTGCTTTAGTGGCTGTGTTACCAAGAAATGTCTTTTCAGAGCAAGTAATGTAAATGCATTGAGTGGATCTTGATGTATCAAGTGATTTGGAAACACAAATTGTCTCTTGAGATAACGGCTGGATTGTGTTCATATCCTGCTATGGGCTCTCAGGTGAGGTACACTTGTATTAGTAAGTATTCACATACTTCCTGCAGGCTAAAACTGTTAGAACTTGAAACAGTTGCTGTTCTTTTTTTTTGCTCCCTTTCAAAACTCTCTGTTCTGATAAACACCAATAAATAGAAAGAAAATTGGAAATGAACGAGGAAAATGACTCACTTGGAAAGTAATCCATCAGGTCCTGAAGGTTTTACAAGGTACTTATCCACTTTTTTGTTAAATAAGTGACGTGGTAACTGCAAGCGCTTGGTGACATTATAGAGGTTTAAGGCATACAGAGTTATATCTCCTTCTTGATACCTTGGACTACAAGCAAATAGGTTAATTCAATAAAAATCCTTCTCCAATTTAAGCAATTAAGAGCTTGACTATAAGTATGATCTTGAGTATTAAGTATTAATTTCCACAATGATGATGGGTATCTTTTCTTTTAAATATAAGATCAGGCCACTCATGTGTTCCTACTTTGAAAGTGTAATACAGGTAGTTCTTCACACCATCATTTTCTGAGCCAAAGCTCAACATCTTTGCTGCTCTGCCAGGCTGTTTCTAGAAAGCCAGCTAGACCACCTATTTTTAGAGGTAGGAAGGTTAAATGATAAAATAAATAAATAAATAAATTTTGTGAATTTATGTGAATTTAAATTACAAACCATATAAACAGGAGCTATTGCTAGCCTCATAAAAAGACTAAAACAAGAAAAATAAGTTGACACTTTTCAGAATTTATGCATTCAAACCATTCCCTCTCTACTTTGTGGTGGGGGCCTCGCTATTCAGAGTTCCCGGTCACCAGGAATGGGAAGCGCTAGGTGAAGTTTTGGGCTTAAATAGAATCATCCCATCAGGAATGACAGTTGAAACTAAGAAAAAGAGAAAATTCCTGAGACTTAGGGGTTTTCTTTGCTACCTAAAGCTAGAGTATAGGACTACAAAAACCTGTATGATTTCTCAATTCTAGAACTGTGGTTACAACTTTAAAACATAAGATTGTTATTATTCTTCTTTGAATTCTTTTTCTTCTTCTTCCTTCATGGATTTATCAAGAATGATGCAAGGAGATAAGATTATTCATATCCGCTCGTGTTTGTATTCACATTCATTCATTCCTTTAGTGAATTAGTTGTGTAAGTATAGCTATTTTTCTTATTCTTATTTACTAAAACTCAGGATATATTTCCATTACAGATTATGACAATCAAAACATTATATAAGCCTTTATTGGACCTCAAATGCCTGTTTTAAGCAATGTAGGTGGTTTTTTTTAAGTTGAATTCTGGTGTCATATCACTATGATTATGAAAAAGAAAAAAGAACGATGTTACCGCTTAGACCCACTATGTAGATAGCAGCAGGGTGTTGGAGCAGGAAATTTGTGCTTGCAGATTAAAACTTGTTGCTGGGCCCGAGGTGTGTGTCACACTTACTGGCTGGCATCTGTGCAGTGAAGGTACACGCGTAGTTTGCTTCTTTCTGCACCTTTCACACTTGCCATGAGCACAGTGCTGCCCACCAGTTTCTTGAACAGAAGAGACAGCCAATAATCCTAGTTGTGGTGGTTGGAGAGGGAAAAGACAGGTCTTCACTGATTTCCTTATTTTTATTTGAACAAAACCACCGACAAGCACACAGTCATCCTGAAGGAATGTGACTGCTCTCTTAGCAGGAGATTTAAGAAGGATTCTGTTTTGTTTTTTCTTTTTATGAATGTGATCAGCATGAATCTGAGGACCATATTTTGCTTGCTGCATTTTATCCCTGGAGGACCCTGTTTCTTTAATTAAAAGGGCCATTGTCACTGAAAGACTTCAAGTGTGCAGTCCATTGCCCAGAAAGTTTAAATAATCTTGGTGGTCTTTCATCCAAGAACACACTCACACATGCACAGGGATAAGTTTATAAAATAAAACTTTTGTCTAAAAAACCCAATTTTCTTTAAAACGTTATAGCCATCTTAATTAGGCAGTGGACTAGCTAACAATCATCATTTGCTATGCATACCAAAAGAGAGACAGATAGACATTGTGTGCTTCCTGATGGAAGAACACAGAATCACCTGTGACGATTTCTTGATAAGAAAAAATTTTTTTGCTAGGTGCCCATGGCTCACACCTGTAATCCTAGTTACTCAGGAGGCAGAGATCAGGAGGATCGAGGTTCAAAGCCAGCGTGGGCAAATAGTTTACAAGACCCTATCTCGAAAAAACCAATCACAAAAAGGACTGGTGGAGTGGTTCAAGGTGTAGGCCTTGAGTTAAAAAAAAAAAATTAAATAGGATCACGTTAACAGGAAACAAATTAAACTGAGGAACATGCAAAATAATACCACGGGAATAAATTCAGCAAAACCCAGAATAATGGGAAATAATATAGAAAAAATGACTTATTTTCTTTAATTAAATATTCTAAGAAACAAATGTAAGAGACACATCAACCAAAATGCTTCATGTGGATCTGATATGGATTCTGATTTTAATAAATCAACTATAATAATATTTTAGACAATAAGGAAATGTGAAACACTGACGAAATTACTCAAATAATTCCTTTAAGAATTATTCTTTCAACAGATATCCTCAAATACCAGTTTGGACTATAAAAATCAAGGTCATACTTCTTAGGGCCACATCTATAATGCCTTACCTTTTAGTAGATCTCTCTTTCAAAACACTACATTTCCTGGCTTAACACTAAGATAAGAGATAGGCTAGAAGTAAGATTTTATTAATAAATCTCTTAAACATCATTGACAAAATAATTGATTCTTAGGGTGATTTTTAAAACATACACAGTACTGGCTTATTGTAAAGTTAAATAACTGTGATTTCATAGCCAGGTGTGGTAGTACACATGACTTGGCTATTTATTGAGAGGTTGAACTTTTTGTAGGAGGTTAGGTTAGCACCAAGGGTCCTAGGTTTCCTCTAGTTATAGAATTAGAAAAATGATGGTCACTTACCGGTAATGGTTCAAAGTTTTGGTCCACTAAATGATAGTTTCCGGCTCCAAATAACACCTGCCTCATCACCACTTCTATGCCCATTTGGGCTGAGAGGCCCAGTTTATCGAGCCACCTAGGACACAGTGACACCCCTTCTTCAGATTTGAAAGCAAAAATCACTCAATTCTAAATACACACAGATTTAATCATCTGTGTGGGAGGAATTAACAGGAAACTAGAAGAGTATCATTAATTACAAATATGCCATTCAAATGAAATGGTGACCATATATGGTGACACGTCCTCCCTCTACATCCTCCCTCATGTTAGCAAGACAGCACGTCCTAGCAGATTATTAGTATGTCACAGCAGTCCTTCTCAACCAGAGCCAGACAAAATCTACAACGTAGAGTACACAAACTCCCACTCCTACAATTCTTCATCGTGTAGCCCACCCTGCACACACACACACACACACACACACACACACACACACACACACACAACTAACCTGTTATGGACACCTCCCTCATCCTCCTTCTACCCCCACCCCCTTCAGGTAAGGGTAAAACAAATATCTCCAGCCTTCTATTCCTCGTGCTCCTATGAGCATAAAAGATTGGTATTTTATTCTAAGCTTGTGACAATGAAGATGGCTGTGGGCAAATAAGGATGGAAGTGGAAAGAAAAAAATCTCAACATATACAGACATGTAAATTAAGAGTACTGAGAGAGTGAGGCATTGAAAATAAGTTAACCAGTAGTTTAGCACAATCAAATTTGTGGTGTTGGCTAATGAGATGATTTAGTAAATTTTTAAATTCACTGGTAGTCTCTCTGATGTGACTTCATACTTTAGGCTCTAAATTTCTTGGGAATCTGTAATACAGCTGCATATACTAATATCCTTCTCAGAACCAAAGTTCACTCTGCCCCTCTGCTTCCTTCCTTCTTTTCTTTCTTTAGCAGGGTCTCTTGTCTCTTTATATAGACATCCCAGACTGGCCTGCAACTCATGATCTTTCTGTTTCTGCCTCCTGAGCCACGATTACAGGCATGAATCACCATGCTTGGCTGACAATGAGTTTCTTTAGAGGATGGTCTCTGCTATGGTTTGGACCTTAAATGTCTCTCAAAGGCTCAAGTTTTGAAGGCTGGGTCTCCAGTTAATGGTGTTCTTGTGAGGTGGTGGAAACTAGAAGGTGGGACCTAGTTGGAAGAAGTAGGTCATTGGGGGGGCTTGCCCTTGAAGGGGAAATTGGGATTTTAGGGCCCTTTCCTTTCTCTCTCTCTCTTTTGCTTCCTGTCTGTGATGAGGTGAACAGCTTCCTCTGCCACACACCTCTGCTATGGTGTTCTACCTCACTAAAGGCCTAATGGTAACAGGGTCAAGGGACCATGGACTAAAACCTCTGGAACTATTTACCTGGGCTAGCCTCAAATCAAATTGTCCTAATCTCAGTCTCCCAAGTAGCTAGGATTACAGTATGAGCCATGGTACCTGGCTCTTTTCTCCTTTTAAGTCATTTATCTCAGGTATTGTCACAGTGACAGAAGGCTGAGTAACACAGATTCCTTGGCATATTTGTAGGTCATAATTAAGAAGCAAAAACCTGTTAAAGATGTCTAACAAGCTTCAGCAAGTCATTTTCTTCCCAACTCAGCACAAATGTTGGGGCTCAGCCACAAAAACTGACTTTGACCTGGTTTTGGACACTAATGGCTATGACATGAACAGAAAGATGCAGAATGCTGCGAGCAGATCGTGCAGCCAGGGTGGCTCACTTACATGAAGCCAGCAGCAAAAGTGTTGGACAAGAAGGGCGCCCCACCTCCGTACGCAGAGCTGGTTTCCCCCAGCCATACCTTCTTGCTGGGTCTGGTTTCCTCCACCACCTGCAAAAAAGGAAAGTCTCCATGGTAACTACCAGTGAGCTGGCCAGCTGTGGTGCTGAAGATGAACAGTGTTCAAACCTGTCCCAAGACCATCTGTCCCACACAGTTACAAAATGTGCTCACAGCCATTTAGAACTTAGGCCACTTTCTTTTATTGGAAGGCTTGGGTGTGGAAGGAACAGAAATAAACCCGTTATTATGGTCTCTGATAGTTAATTCTACTGAAAGGCTATGGAAGTATTTTTAATTTCTAACCAACGTACATGGGTAAAATACAATGCTGAGGAGGAAAACAAGGGCTAATAAGAAATAGTGCTTGTTCTCTAAACTTAGAAAAATATTTGTGCAGGGGGGACAAATGACCTAAACACTGTATGCACATGAGAATAAATGAATTTAAAAACAAAAACATTTGTGTATATGTTATAAATTATATATATATATATATATCTTATAAAGATATATATATATCTTATAAATTATATATATATATATATATAATTTAGAACTAAGTAGACTATAAGATAAGGACTTTGGCTTTACACGAAAAATTTAGAAAGAATATTACCTGGAAAATTTTTTGCACAGATAAAATAAAAGTGTCCAGCACATCAGGGTTTAGAAAATCTTCTTTGGTAGCAATGCGTCCATTCAAATAATAGCTAAATTATTCAGAAAAAAATAACAGTTTACTTTGTGATTTTCAAGCAACTGCCAATCTTATTATCCTTTCTTATCCCCATTATAAAAAAAAAAAAAAAAGGCAGGGGTTTCACCAGGGAGGGACCACGATGGAAGGGAGACAGAGGAAGAGACCATTGAATTTGCATAACTAGAAATCGGTTGTTCTGCCTTAAGAACAGCCAATACTGAGGAACTCCTGAGTTACCTGTATTTCACAAGCAATTGGTTGTAGCTACTCTTATATTCCATGAGTTAACTGGCAGAGTAACTTTGTCTTTATAGTAGCCAACATATTATTTTTAACTAATGTTAAATTTTTGCTTTATCAATGTTAAAATTCTAGTACAATGCTGCTTGAGAAACTATTTGTTTCTTGCTTGAATTACAAAGCCAATAGCACTTAAGTGGAAGTAATTTTTTGAAACAGCAGTAAGTAAAACTAGCTTTACTTTCCCAGTATTAAGAATAGAGGACATACTTACTGATGCCATGTCATTGAGTCAATCACGTCCCCACCAGCTTTCAGGAAACTAGAAGAAAAACTGCCATGGTATCACTTATTCCCCATACATCTGCACAACAGTTACACGAGTTCCATTCCTAGAAAGGGCTGCTTACTATAAGAAGATCAAACACAAATGTCCTAATCTTAGGTGCCATTTGTCCCAGAATCCTTGGCACTCTGAGCCAGCATTTCCTCTGTGGTAAGCCATGTCATCAGCAGCAATTTGTTTAATAACTTGTGGACTTATGGGAGTTCTCCACCAGACAGAATTTTTTTTTTTTCAGTACTGAGGTTTGAACTCAGGGCCTACACCTTGAGCCACTCTGCCAACTCTTTTTGTGATGGGTTTTTTTTTGAAATAGGGTCTCATGGACTTTTTTTGTTCAGGGCTGGCTTCAAACTGTGATCCTCCTGATCTCTGCCTCCTGAATAGCTAGGATCACAGGCGTGAGCCCAGCTAGAAGCACTTATTCTTCAGAAAAAGTCCCATATCCCCTTGCTCTTACCTCGTTAGCAACTTCACTGTCTTTCCCCGGGGCTGGCCAATATCAGGTCCATAAATTTTCGCGCTTTTGAAAGTGAACTTCCCTAGAAGCTTCCGTAACGCAACGAAATCTTCTCCTAACTGTGATCCGTTGACGAACACACCAGCCTTCTTCCAGAAACTGTTAGGCTCTGAAACACAGCAGTTTTCACGTGACTTACCTGAGCAGTTTTCATTTGAAAGCAAGCAAAGTAACAAGCATTTTCCAAAATAAAAAAATTAGAGTTTAAAGTCAAGAAAAGTAAGACTCCCAGTTATAAAGAAGATATTCTAGAAAAATTAAAATTTCAACTATGTAACTTAGGTATGAAGGGGTATTAAACAACTTTAAGCTAATAATGAGCATATTGAAAAAATGGCTATTTGGGGAAAAGTCTGTATCCAGTATTTAATAATCTAATTTACTTAAAAAAAAAAAAAAAAGAGCAGGGCATTGCTGGCACACACTTGTAATCTTAGCTACTCAGGAGGCAGAGATCAGGAGGATTGTGGTTCGAAGCCAGCCCCAGGCAAATAGTCCGTGAGACCATATCTTAAAAAAACCCAACACAAAAATGGGCTGGTGGAGTGACTCAAGGTTTAGGCCTTGAGTTCAAGCTCCAGAAAAAAAAAAAAAAAAAGAGCAGGAGAAGGACATTTAATCACTTAATGGTCAGAACAGTGCCTGCCTGGCATAGATAGAATGCGTTCATCAAAGCACTACATTTTATTTTTTCCATTTTATATTCAGTCTTATTGGCTGATGTACCAAAAAGTCCTATAAATATATTTTGAATACATATGGCTAATCATGAACACTTTAGTTAGGACTCATAAATTTCTTGCAAAAATAAGGGGACACTCAGTTGCTTGCCCTGGGTAGGAGCAACTTCTAGACAGCTCAAGCATGTAATGAAGATGGGCTTGGGGTTGTGGAGACCAACTGATAAGTTGAGCCACAGAGAAGGAAGAGAAGAATAAAATCAAACTGTTTACTTCACAGTTTTGTTGAGTAAAACTAGCAGGCCAAGCATAATGGGCTTAGAGACTCTGAAAATCTCAGGGGAACCTGGGAGCTGGAGAGGTTACTGGCTCCAATAGTTTTCTCACCTCAAAAACAGCATAAAATGGTGCGTGCTTATAATTCTAGCTAACTTGGGAGCTTAAAGAGGAAGATCAACAGTTTGGGGCCAACCCAAGCAACTTAGTGAGACCCTGGCTCAATATAAAATTAAAGGTGGGGGGAGGGGCTGGGGATAGCTAATAACAATAATAATAATAAGTAAACTGGGATCAGCAATAGGTTCTGGGGTATACTATGCTGTCCCCAAAGTGCTATTGTTGTGCACTTGCAAGAATGTGCCTAGGCAGAAGTATATTTGCTCATGATAAAAAGAATGTCAGCTATCACAATGAAACTCCCTACATGGTGCAATCAATATATATTTAAAAAATCTTTTTAAAAGAATGTCATAAATGAGAATAAACGAAGACCAGTTTTGAATCTGTTTATCAGGGCAGTGTTCCTAGGGTGCTTACCGTTGCCTAGTTCCCATGAAATGTTGTAATTCTTGGAAGAGCAGTAGTCCAGGAGCAACTGAGCGTTAGAACTGTTCCACTGCAAATCTGCTGTTCTCAGTAATGCATTTAGACCAAAGATCAAATTCAGCCCTGAGCAATTTGCAAAAGTATACAGCATATCCACTGAGCTTCCTAGAAGAAAAAGGTTGCACTGTAATGGTTAGATGAGCACCACAGTGAAGAATCTTCCAGGCTTGATCTTCATGGTCAGTTACTATTACTGTTGTGAAATGAAAAAATTCCAGTTCTAGTAAGTGACTACCATGATTTGTAAGTGAAGACAAAATTAGATGGGCAAGTTTTTAAAACACTGACTTCATTTGCTTCAGCTGTTGGAAGTTCCCTGCAAGGTACAAGAGTTTCTAGTCTGGTCACTCAGGCTATCCAAGTGACTGGAGGTGAACTGGGGAAACACGGTTATGGCCTAATATGCATGGGCCACACTGTCATGAGCATAAATTCTACCTTTCATAATCTAAATAGCTCTGCTCACATGCTCAACTGTGAAATGTTTGCATCATTTAAATTATATTTAAAACATCTTTAAATTCTTGTATGATTTATGAATTTGAAATAAATAGGCAAGCACTGGTGGTTCACACCTATAATCTTAGCTAATTGGGAGGCTGAGATTGGGAGGATAGCAGTGGAAGGCCAGCGCTGGCAAACAGTTCTCGAGACCCAATCTCCAAAATAACCAAAGCAAAATGAACTGGAGGTGTGGCTCAAGTAGTAGAGTACTTGCTTTGCAATCGGGAAGCCCTGAGTTCAAATCCCAGCCCCACAAGAAAAAAATAATATAGAATTTTACATTACAAAATAGGCCCAGGGAAGCAGGGCTGTGGTTTCTAAACTATGTGCCAAAGGGCCCTGGGGACCCACAGTCAATTAAAGGATATGGTTGTGGGAGTCAGCAAAATACAGGACAGGTATTTGTGTACTTGTGTACCTGGTGGCAATGATATAAAATTAAGTATGGTGCTTAAATCAAGTATTGTATGTATAATAAGTCCTTGTGATTTTCAAGCATATTTTTGAGTCATTTGTTAAACAGAAATTCACTCTTGAACTCTTCTAGTTTTTTTTTTTAAACTGTATCTGGAAAGCTTAACCTTTTCCTTAGAAGTGACTTTGCTTTCGGTTTCTAAGCCTCCGGCAAAAATTCCCTGGAGAACCACAGCAGTGAAACCCCAGACTCAGCATTACTGACACACTCTGCTGAGCCACACAACCCTAGCCAGCTGCTGCAGGTGTTGTGATATTTGCTGTGTCACCCACTTCTGCAGAGCTGCCGCCAGTCATTAGGAGTGACATTAGGATTTGAGAAGCTCGGAGTCCTGAGGCCCAGCATTCTGCTGTTAGAATCAGTTAAGAACAATGTCGAGCTTGGGATCACCAAGCCTATCCCAGCCCCCACCCTCATTTGTCTATGAGGAAATGCAGATCCAACTGGGCAAATGCTTTGCCAATGTCACATGGGTTTTTGGTGCCAGTGCCATCTCTAGAACCTATTATAAAAGGATGACTCAACTACCTTAGTCACAACTGAGTTACAGGTTTACATATTGCAAAATCGCATTGTAGAAAGTACCCTGGATTGGGAATCCTAAGCCCTGAGCTCTGGGTGCAGCTAACCCACTTACAAGCAAGTGACATCTTCACCCTACAGAGGCCCCAGCTTTGGTTGTACAGTCCTGGAGTGAGAACCATCCATGCTTACTCCATAAAACCAAGGTTGAAATGACACAGGTGAAAGCCACTTTTAAGCCATAAAAACCCCTCATAGGTACAAAGCACAGTGACTGCCTTACTCTCTCACAAAGATAATAGCATTTTTCAAAAAGCCTACAATGCTCGTGTTTTCAAGTGTGCAGTCAATACCTCCTTTACTCTTCCTCTATTTCTTCATTCTTCCAAATGCATTAGGAATTTACATAGCTTGAAATTCTACTATACATTCCCCTGCAACGTAAAAAACTAATATCTCCTAGAATAAAGGCTATATATTTCTGAGTTTAAAATCTACTTTTAAAAATAAAAATAAGAAGTGCTAGGCATGGTAGCAGAAGCCTGTAATCCTAGCTACTTGGAGGCAGAGATAAGAGGAAGATGGTTTGAGGCTGGCTGGGCAAAAGCACAGGAGCCTATCTGAAGAAAAACACAACAACAACAAAATGGCAAAAACACCGGGGTCATGGCTCAAGTGGTAGAGCACTTGCCTAGTAAGCTTGAGGCCCTGAGCTCAATCCCCGGTACTGCTAAGAGATAAATACAGAAATAAAGATAAGAAAAACAATCCCACTGAGTCTACTTCCTTCCCCAAATAGAAGAAACAGAAAGAAAACTTATAACTAACTGTCCTCGTCCCAATTATTTTCTGAACTCTCATCTCTCACTCTGTGGGAGAGTGGAGAGATGCTTGGGGTGGAGATAACGCAGACAGCACACTTCGGGTGCAGTGCACTGTGTAAGTTTACACCGCGTGGGGCCGGGGGTGGGGGTGGAAGAGCAGAGTGATGAGGAAGAGAGGAAAGGAAAGCAAAGCATTGGCTCATTCCATACGATCAGTGTAATAAGGGCCCTCCTTCTGCAGTTACACCCACAATTACTTCTGAAATGTCGCCTCTTTCTCCTGCCCAAACAGGCTTACAGTGTGAGTCTGTGTCCTCATGATGAATGTCATCGTCATCTTCTACTTAAGTAGAACACACCACCCAAGAGGACCCAGGTTAGAAAACTTAACCTGTATCTCGTAGGACACCTGTTTTAAGGGCACAGGCCACTAACTGAGCAATGAACACTTCTCTGCGTCTGCATTTTAGCTCTTTCTTTCACTGCACGATGACCCCCAAGTCACTTAGCCAACACCAACCTCAGCTACAGATTGAAAACAACGGGTTGAAACACCTATTAGCTTCTGAGATATTTGCCACCACTCATGAGTAGGTGACCGGATTGATTTCTATGTTTCCATGACATAGATTAAAATTCAAAATCTCCAACAGAAGTCAAACATTTCCCAAAAGGAATAAAATATCTGAGTTTGTTATACATTTTAGCATTGCCAACAGGGTGGTTGGTGTTACACTAACCCAGTTGTGCAGATGGCAAAGGGAGACCATGCCCGGCTGTTGGAACTATGAAGGGCCAAGTGTCAGAGGCAAGTAAAGATGTTGGGGAACCTACATCTTGGTAACAGAAGGATCACGTGAGGTGGCAAACGTATTCTAGAAACTAGTATAATGTTAAATATGACCCCATCCCCCCAAATCAGGAATCCACTGATTACATAATATCAGGTGTCCTCTCCTAACTGGTCTGTGTCCTAATTTATTACAAATGAGACTGTACCACTGTGGATCACTTGTGCTTTCTGTCATTCCTTTAATGAGATCCAGGACGGATCCACCCTATGCCAAATTTAATTCAGCAATAAATCATGCTCATTAAAATGGCAGAGTAGTTTCCTCTCCTCTTAAGAATGCCAAATGCCTGCTTAGCAAGCATGAGGCTCTGAGTTCAAACTCCAGTACCACGAAAAAAAAGAGTTCAAGACTGACAAAATTAAACCGGGTGCTGGTGGCTCACACCTATAATCCTAGCTACTTGGGAGGCTGAGATCAGGAGGATTATGGTTTGAGCTCAGCTCAGGCAAAAAATTTACAAGATCCCCATCTCAACCAATAGTTGGGGGTAGCTGCACATGCCTATCCTCCCAATTATGCAGGAGGCTGAGATCAGGAGAATTGATTTTACCAGGTCAGCTATGGCAAAAAAGTTTGCGTGATCCCCACCTCAATGGAAAAAGCTGGGCATGGTGGAGGGCATGAACCCAGCTATGGTGGGAAGCATCAAATAAGAGAATAGAGGACTGGGCCTTCCTGGACAAAAAGTGAGACCCTATCTTTAAAATAACCAGAGAGAGCAAAAAAGGTTGGAGGTGTGGCTCAAGCCATAGGGTGCCTGCCTATAAGTGTGAAACCCTGAGTTCAGACCCCAGTCCCGAAAAAAGAAGAAAAAAAGCCCAAAACAGAGAACTACATTAACTGTTAGCACATAATCCATGTTCTGATTTCTTATGTATTACACTTTTCTGTACATCATAAACAAAAATACAAAAAACTGAAAATCCACACGATACACTTAAGTCCAGGTGGTACAGTGAGTCTTAGAAAGACAAATAGTTCACTTTAAATCATGCACAGGAATGCTTTGGAGATACTGCAGGCTTAATTCCAGACCACTGCAATAAAGCAATGAAGTAAGTCACTCAAGTGTTTTGGTTTCCCAGGACACATAAAAGTTAAGTTATATGATATTGTAGCCTATGCAGTGTGCAACAGCATTAAGTACAAAATTATATACTTTAATTAAAAATACTTCATTGCAAAAATTGCTAACCACCATCTCAGTCTGCAGCAAGTCACTGTGTATTTGCTGGTGGAGGGGCTTTCCTGCGTGTCGATGGCTTGACCAATCAGGGCATGGTTGATAAAGGCTGGGGTGGCTGTGACAATTTCTTCAAATAAGACAACAATGAAGTTTGTCTCATAGATTGACACTTCCTTTCACGAAAGAGTTCTCTGTAGGATGCAATACTATTTGACAGCACTTTACCCAGAGAGGAAACTCTTTCAAAATTGGAGTCAATCCTCTTAAACCCTGAGGCTGTTTTATCAACAAAGTGTATGTAATAATCTAAATTCTTGTCATTTCAACTATGTTCACAACATCTCAAGAAATCGCTTTCTCTGCTCAACCATAAGAAGCAATTCTTCATGTGTTAAAGTTCTGTCTGAAGATTGCAGCAACAGTCACATCTTCAGCTTTCACTGCTAATTCCAGGTCTCTTGCTGTTTCCACCCGCTCTGAGTTTCCATCCACTGAAGTCTGGAATTCCCCGTCTTCCACTCTTCCCAACTCTTGTGTTCATATTTGGCTGTCTTCCTATGAACTCTCTCTCTCTGTCTCTCTGTCTCTGTCTCTGTCTCTGTCTCTGTTTCTCTCTCTCTCTCTGTCTCAGCAGTCCTACCATTTCCATTTCAGCCCACTTTGTTTAGCTATTTTTCAAACAGGGTCTTATGTTTCTGCCCTGGCTAGCCTGGACCATGACCTTCCTATTTATGATTCCTGCATAGTTGGGATGACAGGCATGCACTGCCACACCCAGCTTTTATTGTTTAAGAAGATGTCTCTCAAACTATTTGGCTGAGCTGGCCTCGAATTGCGATCCTCCCAATCTCAGCCTCTCAAGTAGCTACAATTGCAGGGTCCTGGCTACAAATGTTCTTAATGTATCTAGAATGGATGCTGGGTGAGAAGGCATGGAAACGACATTAATCTCATTGTATATCTCCTTTAGAGCTCTTGGGTGACAGGTGCACTGTCAGTGAGCAGTAATATTTCAAAGGAATCTATTTTGCTGGGCAGTAGAATTCAAGAGTGGACTTAAATATTTGGTAAACCACGTTGTAAATAAGCATGCTGTCTTCCGGGTTTTGTTGTTCCACTTATAAAACACAGAATAGACCCAATGCAACTCTTAAGGGCCCTAGGATTTCTTGGGCTAGTGAATGAGAATTGGCTTCTACTTAAAGCCACCAGCTGCATTAGCCTCTAACACGAATGCCAGTCGGTCCTCTGATGCTTTGAAGCCAGTCATTGACTTTTCCTCTCTAGCTACAAAAGTCCTCCATGGCATCTTCTTCCTGTATAAGGCTGTTCTGTCAATGCTGAAAATCTGTTGTCGAGCGCAGTCACCTTCATCAATTATCCTGCTAAATCTGTTAACTTGCCATGGCTTGTACGCCAGCCCTGGCACATTTGTGCCATAGAAATGCTGTTTCCCTTAAACCACATGACCCAACCTCTGCTGGCTACAAATTTTCCTTCTGTAGCTTCCTCTCCTTTCCCAGTCTTCACAGAACCAAAGAGAGTTGGGGTCCTGTTCTGCATTAGGCTTTGGCTGAAGAGAATGTTGTGGCTGGTCTGATTTTCTATCTGGAATGCTCAAACTTTCTCCTTATCAGCAATAAAGCCATTTTGCTTCTTCATCATTTGCATGCTCACTGGTGTAGAACTTTCAGTTACTTCCAGAACTTTTCATTTGCACTCAGAACTTGGTTAACTATTTGGTGCAAGAGGCCTAGCTTTTGTCTGCCTCAGTCTTTGAAGGTCCCTCCTTTCTAAGCTTAATCATTTCTAGCTTTTGATTTAAATTAGAGCTGTGTGACTCTTCTTTTTTTTTTTCTTGACTATTTGGAGCCCATGTGAAGTTATTGATCAGCCTAATCTCAATATTCTTGCATGGTAGGGAAGAGGATCCTGAGAAGAGGGAGACAGATGGGAAAGGCAGGTGGGACTACACACATTTATCGATTAAGGTTGCTGTCTTATACAGGCGTCATTCATGGTATCCCAAAACAATGATAATAGTAACATCAAAGATCAATTATCACAGCTCACTTATCACAATCGCCATGCAGATATAATAATGAAGGAGTTTGAAAAATTCTGAAAATTACCAAAATATGACACAGTGACACAAAGTGAGCACATGCTGTTGGAAAAAAAATGTTGCCATAAACCTTGAATTTGTAAAAGCCAGCAATATCTATGGATGTCAATAAGCCAAGGCAAAATAAAAATTTTTTTAGGAAAAAATGTGAGTAATGCCAGTAAGAAAAGTCAGGATAATGTCAAACTATTTCAGTGAAGGAAATCACCGACTGGTTGAGTTAGTCCTGTGTTTATAAAACTAAGGGGAAATAAAAAAAGAGAAAGCTGCTCATAGGTTGAGACCTAAATATTTAGAGGTCACTGGAAAGCTAACAATCGGCCTAATTTCCACTTGAACTTAGGAATCCTCTGGCCAGTGCTCTCTACCACCTCATACTGTGGGCTGAAGTTCCCTTAGCTGAAATGATCATGACCAGCAGTGTTTCAGATTTCAGAGTTTTGTTTTTATTTTGGCCTTTACCAGTTAAGCATCCCTGATATGATCAAATCCCGAAAGTTGAATTTTGGAGAATTTCAAATTTTAGATTTTCAGATTAGAGATTTTCACCCTGGAGGAGTTTCAGGAAGGGAGAAAGATGAACAATGAAGTATGAATAATTTTTACCTTTTATCCTTTGTACTTTCATATTGTACTTTTACCTGAGGAATACAGTCATGTGCTGACTCCCTAGCCTTCTTTTTATTGGGGGGGTGGTACTGGTGTTGAAACTCAGAGTCTTGCATTTGTAAGGCAGGTGCTCTACCACTTGAGTCCTCAGCCCTTTCTGCTTCACTTTGTTTTTAGATAAGGTTTTGTATTTTTTGCCCAGGCCAGCCTCAGATGAAGATTCTCCTACCTCTGCCTCCAAGTAGCTGGTATTACAGAAATGTGCCTCATGCTTACCCCTTCCCTGCCACATTGTTCTTGAGAGCAATACAGGCCATAATTAGACTGAATTCTGCATCTCATTCTGGGGCCAATAGGCAAAGTCAGAAGATAAAGATAAAGCCAGAAGTTTTGGGTTCAAGATTTCCCATTAACTGTTTTTTTTTTTTTCCCTTGTTGTTGGTTATTGAGTCCAGGACTTCACACATGCTAAGTGTGTGCTCCACCACTGAGCAACACCTCAGCCTCTCCCATTAACTCTTGATAGCATTTAATATCGTACAGCTTTACACAATTGCTACAGAGCTTATTAGATCCATGCCCAAGTCCAGCCTATCCAAATATTTTTGTGGCAGGACACATGAGGGCGCCTCATTTCTTACGTGAGTAGGTGCTGTTCTTAAACCGTTTCTCATACTGTTCTTTGAGCAGCAGCTGCTCCTGGAGGGGCCATTCCAACTGTAGCCTTTTTTCCACATCAGAAGGGAAGGATCCAGGTTTGCAAATACCTACAAGTGGAAGAGAGAATTGAGGCTCTGTTTTCACAATGATAAGGTTGAAACCCTGTGCACATATTTAGTTAGCTATTATGTGGTTAATAGCTAAGTAAGCTTCTAGTTACTGAGTATGAGATCAGAGAAAGATATATTTCGCTACATGTGCCAAGTTGGCTGCTGTCCAACAGCCACAGAAAAACAACCCAATAGCAGTTTTCCTAAGAAACATTGGCCACATACAGGACACAAAGCATTGGACATGACTTTGAGCTTTTTGATAATTCAGAAGGTTCCTCAGAAGCTTGAAATTACCAGGGAATTCTAATAAGGAAAATACAACTCAGTTCTCTTATGGTTCATTTTCAAAATACAGCTGGAACTTGTGGTGCACACCTATAATCCCAGCTCTTGAGAGGTTGAGGCAGAATTTTGAGCTCCAGGCCAGCCTGGGCTACAAAGCAAGTACATAGTCATTTGTTCTACATGGATGAATGATATCTGCTCTGTGGTGGTTGCTTCTTGCCACAATGAAGCTAGGACAGGAATTATGGACTTTTCTGCCTTTAAATTTGGTTCTATCCAAGCTTCTGCGAACACAACATGAGCACTTAGAAAATCCACCACCATCCTGTCAGGAAGCTGCATTTCTTTATCACAGGGCAGCAGGTCCCCAGTGCTTGCTGCCAGGGTCAGTGATGACTTCCTTTCTGGGAAGTTATATACTGTGACTGACTGGCAGCTGGTGTCTCATCCATCCCTGTGTTCACAAAGGGTGTTTCAGAGGATCTTGGGTAATCCCAGTGAGCCCCACAGCCCAAACACACACCAGGATAAAGAAAACTGATGTGGAGAAGACAATTTTCTATCTGACATCTTATAGAGATGTTTTGAACGCACAGGACTGGTAGGAAAGGGCCAAAACTAAACACACTACTCCAACTTGTTATTACAAGAGGACTCACCTCACCTACCTTTTCCTAAGTTTTCTAATTACCACTCTCAAATTTGGCTCAAAAGCTAATTAACTGTTGTAAGTACTTTCTAACTGAAGGAAATAAATAGAAGGAAAATATGTAATATAGGGAATAATTACTATTAATTATATAATGTACATATAATATCGGTATTATTAGCTAATATATTATATTATTATAGGCCAATTATGTGAGCAATATATTTAATAATCTTTCAGATAATGATTTAACTGACATCTGATGTCTGATAGAACTCCTGAAAGTCACAGGAGAAACCCTTAGTATCACTCCCTGGGGCAGGTTTATCAGATTAAGCCTACAAGCTTCTGTTTTTTTGTGGTACTGGAGTTTGAACTCAGGCCCTTGCACTTGCTATATAGCACTCTACCACTCGAGCTGTGCCCCTAACCCTCACACACTTCCAGCATCAGAATCACTGGACAAGCTTGCTAAAGTCAGAATCTAAGGTTGGAGCCCAGAGAGCTAAATGTTCAAACTCCCCTGGGGTGGTATGGATAGTCAATAAGGTTTGAGAACCATCGCCCAATAAATCAAGACTTGAAACCAAGTCTTAGAAGGGATGTGATCTCCACAGCCCTTCTTAGATTTTGCCTCCAGAATAAACATCCTTTGATCTATTGCTGCCCCAATGTCTGATTATCCATTCTAGAGACGATTGTCAGCTGGTCATACTCTTGTCTGTTTGATGTCTTTCTACCCCATGCCTTGTTCACTCCAAGCTGCTCTGTCGTTCAGGAATAACCACTGTTCTATTTATTGATAACTCTCAGTTATGCCAAGCACACCTTGTCTGAGGCTCACAGCCATGCAAACATCAGATGAGGAAACCTCACAGCTTCCTCTTTTTGTTTGGGTGCCTCCACAGGTCAACTGGGGGTCCTTCACTTCTTATTAATTGTGCGGTGTGAGCAACACTTTTCTTGAAGTTCTATCATGACTGAGACAAGTTAAATAAAATATATAATCATTAAGAAGCTTCACCCTGGTTGACTTGAGATTGCCAGTAACTTCTCTCTTCAAAGGTTGGCTCCTTCTTGGGATCAAAAATTAGGAAGTCTGTCTTGGTGCCACCAAATCTTAAGTATGCAGGAGATAAGCCTCTGGCCAAAGTACGAAGCTTTGGAGAACTGTTATGAAGACAAGCAAGAAAGTACTATTATTATTATTTTGTTGCTATGTAGCTCAGGCTGGCCTTCAACTTGCAATCCTCCTGCCTCCACCTCCTTAGTACTGGATTACAGCTATGCACCATCAGACATAACTTCTGATTACTTTTCCAAGACAATTCAGTCAACATTTTTACTTCCTTCTTTCTTGGTGAACCTGTTTCTTAACTTCTAGTTCTAGGGGGATGGAGAGAGGAGGATAAATTCAGGATGTGTTTATACGTAGTAAGGACAGATTTGGTCATTAATTGAGTGTTCAGGAGGAGTCAAGGGTTATGCTTGGGAAGCACCTTGGAAGATGGTAACGGTGTGACAGGTTGGAGATAAGGATGAAGCAGGAGGATGGCAGAGGGCTCAGTTTTGTAGAATTTCAGATACCAGTAGAACACTAAAAACCATGTTTCTGTCAGCCCCTGGGCTATGTGTGTCTGGAACTCAGGAGACACATCTGGGCTAGGGAGTCCTCAGTGTAAGTAACTAGTGACTCCTTGCCCACAGCTCCCAAGACACAACCCTAAAGCTGATGTGAGGAAGTTCCTTAGAGTTACTCAGGCCAGGCATCAATTCTGGTCCCTGGCATTTTGATTATGTTCGATGATACAGAAGACTCATTTGGATTTGTGTAGCTAGTATCTGTAAGCAGTTAAAACTTGGCAAGAGAATGGTGCTGTTTAGGCGGGAAGCTAGCACCTGGAAAAGGAGCTGTGGCATTGTGGCCTGGGTCAGACACCTGACGACCAGAGCTTGGTTCCATAGGGACAAACTCATCACATCACCCTATTTCATTCACAGCATTCACCACTCTGAAATCAGCCTCCTCCTATGTTTCCTTGGTTTATCTATCCCAGTCACCCTCCCAGAAGTAGGCTGCCTAGACAGCTGGAACGTTGTCTGTCTGGTTTATCAGATCCATCCCAGTGTCTAGAGAAATGCCTCGCATCCAGCCAGTACTAAATAAATATTTGTTATGTGAATGAACAGGGAGGCCAGCCTGAAGAAAGGGTAAATGGAGGCCAGACAAGGATTGTTTTCTGAACAAAATTAAAACCTAATGCCACAGAAAGGAAATGACATGTTTCAAAGTTTTGGTATAAAGGGCTTTTTTGTTTGTCTTTTGCAGGGGAATATGTTTGTGTTTTGAGAATACGACATTGACGCCCTCTGACAAAAGCCAGATTTAATACAGCTGCAAAACTTGCCATAAAAACAAAGTAGATGAAAGGCACAGTATTTCAATCATACAGGAACAAGAAAGGGAAAAATATCCACTGCCCCAGTGTCATGGAAATAACAAAAGAATGCATAAAAGCAGCGGCAGCTATCCCATTTCCAGAGCAGTTGGTGAGGGGAAGAAAATCAAGAGTCTACAGGTGTTTCTATTTTACTTTTTGTGCAAAAATAAGTTGCTTATCTATGACACAAAAAGCAGAGGTAGTTTATTAAACTAGTAAACATTAAGTAATATTTTCCATTTCTAGATTTGGAGGTCACCTTATAGACTCCAAAGGGACTAAAAAGGTTGGGCTGAGTAAGTCAGGTTTGGAGTTTTAGCAGGAACAACAATATGGCAGAGGCTTGGGATTATTATAAAAGAGGAATATGGATGGATGATAAATCAAGAAGCCCAAATCAGATATGGAAGAAGTAGAAAGAGGAGGGAGCTGTTCAGTGGAGGACTTTAAAAAAACAGTGTGATGGGAGAAATTGAAAAGGTGGTCTTTTTCAATTCTAGATTGTTGAATCACTGACATTTAAGTTTTGTGTACTCTATGTTCTCTGGTTACAAATGTGAAAAAAACGTGCTCGCCACTGTAGGAAGCCGGAGCCATGTCACCTGATTAAATTAGCACAGGCCTCCTATGAAGTACCTGAGAGGTTTGGGCCCGGGTTCTCCTCCCTCTGTCAATGCTTCTTTTCATTACATCGGTCTCTCATTGCATTTGGACAATATTTTTCTAATGTGTTCTTCCCTGTTTCCTTTAAAAAAATAAAAACTAGCTTGTTTTCTTTTTGTGTACTGTTGTCTCTGTGATCAGAGTCTGGTTTCAAACTCTCTGGCTGACTGTAGCCAAGTTATTTAATCTCCCTGTGCCTCAAGTTCACTTTGAAAAGCAGTCATCTCACAGCACGGTAGCAAGGACTCAATGAATTGCATGTAGGAGGAGCTTAGAGCAGGGCTGGCAAATGACATGGTTCAGGAAGTGCCAGCTATTTATATGATCTCGCCTGCCTTATTCTTTCAGCTCTCACCACTCAGCTCTTGCCATCCTTGCCCACGCAGCTTCACTTTTGACAAACTGTGATTAACAACACCATGTCATCCTCCTTTACTGTGGGCAGACATTAAGCTTAGCATCATGTATTAACTACCTTGAGGAGAGGAACCTTACCCCCTAAGCGAGCAGTGAAGTCTTAGATCATGGAGGGCACTCCTGCCTGCCTCTCTACGTTGTAGCTGAGAAGAGCTATAGGACAGGAATAAATTGTTTTTTCGGTGGGACTGGGGTTTGAACTCAGGGGTTTGGGTTTGCAAAGCAGGTACTCTATTGCTAAATCACACCTCCAGTCTATTTCGCTCTGGTTATTTTGGAGATGGGCTCTTGGAAACTATTTTCCTTGTCTGGCCTCAAACTATGATACTTCCCATCTCAGCCTCCCATATAGCTAAGATTACAGGCATGAGTCACCAGAGCCTGCCTGAGGAATGAATTGTTTTGTAAAACAAGGAAGAAACAAACAAATAAAACCATCAAGCCATTTGTATTTAGTGCATTGCCATGGGGGAGGGGCAAGGAAAGAAAGTGCTCTGGAAAGCTGTGGTGTGTTAAAAACAGCAAAGGCATTGCCCTCTCTGAAGTGTAGACTAGAAGTTCTGTGTGCTTGGGATGGGTTGCTAGTTAACTGGCATGAGTTTGACTGTACAGTGATCAGGCCTGGACCCTGAAAGTCGTATTGTGGGATTTTTCTTTTGGACCTGTTTCTCTAAGGGGACTCCCCACCTGCCCTTCCCTGGCGAGGGGGTGGGCATATGCTGGCGGTAGCAGAAGAGAACCTACTTTCTCTCACTGCAGCCCTCCAGGACTGGGGTCCTCAGATTTGGAGGCCTGTGGTTCCCATCCCCCAACCAGCTGCAGCCTGGTGTCAACTTCCTACCCCTAAAAGGAAGGCCAAAAAAGCAGGGCTCCTCCCCCCAGGAAATTCTCTCTCTGTAACCACAGGAGAAAAGAGAGGTTAACTGCAATCAAAAGAAACACAGAAAACTGGTGAATGGTTAGCAAACACCATTTGCCAGGAAGAAAAATTAGCTTAAACTTTAAACACTCTGAGTCAAGCATTGTGCCAAGTGTTTATTATTGTATCAGATCCTCATAATAATCCCAAGAGGCAGGTTCTAGAAAGCCTATTCTACAGATGAAAAAACAAAGGCTTGGAGTGGCCAAGCAACCTGGAAAAACCAACTTACCCAGTTTATGACAGTTGGGAGTCAAGCCACGGTGGTCTGACTTAGTACCTTAACCGCTAGGCTACCTGTAAAATTAGCAATAGCACCTGATGGCACCTGAGGGCAGTGTCTAGGTCTGTGAGAGTAGCACGATAATGGACTGGTGAAGATGTGGTGATCAGCAAGGAATGGTGGCACACATCCGTAATCCCAGCACTCAGCACTAGTGCGTGTGTGGTGGTGGTGGTGGGGTGCTGTGATAGGACTCTGGGCTATATAGCAAACCCTGTCTCAAAACAACAAAATATGTGGTAATCTCTGGAAATGACCTAGGATAGTACCTACGGTCCCTGGTCTTGGAATCAGTCTGCACTCATGGAACAGGAGCCATAAACCTACATCAAGTGCATTTCTCAAGGTGAGAAAAAAAAAAAACAAACAAACCCAAAAACTTAACGGTTGATAAAGCAGCAGCATATCTCACAGCCCCATTTCAGAGACCTTCCTATTCAGGGTCCATGAGTCACTGCGAAGTCTGCTTGGTCTTACCTAATATTTACATTTTTAATGTAATTTTTCTTTGGCAGCACTGGGGTTTGAACTCAGGGCCTCACGCTTGCTAAGCAGGCAGGCACTTTTACCACTTGAGCCATCTTGCAAGCCCTGTTATGTGTTGGGTATTTTCAAGGTAAGGTCTCACAAACTATTTGCCCCAGGCTGGCTTTGAACCAAGATCCTCCTTATCTCTGCTTCCTGAGTAGCTAGGATTACAAGCATGAGCCATCAGGGCCCTAGGATTTTATTTATTTATTTTTAAGAAAGTAACACTCTTCTCTTTGAGACCTTCTCCAGCTGACGTTTTAAAACATAAAATCTTCCTAGCAGAGTTTAAAGGACGACAGCCCGATCCACAGCTTATCTGTACACTGTGCAGAAAATCCAAAGGCCCCCAGCCCCCCAGGGGCCCTGGCCCAGGTCCCCTCCTCCTAGCAAGGTGCTGGGGCAGGTGAACAGTTTCTTTTCCAGTTCCCCCTTAACATCTGTTATTAGGTGGAGCCCAGCCAACAAGTGCTGAATGAATGAAGAAAAATGGAAACAAGCTGTTTGGGGATGGGGTTAGGGGTGGAGAGGAGCGTGTCCCAAGAACGAATGTGAAGTTGTTTCCGCACAGAGGAGAGGAGAGTGGCCGCCCGGCTGGTGTGGGTGTCCTGAGCCTGGGAGAGGGGACGGGACCTGGGGGCCGGCGCTTACCCCAGGAAGGTGAGGAACCGCGGGTCGGTGGCCAGGTTGGCGTCGATGGTGAAGGACAGGAACGCGGGACTCACCAGGTGCAGCGGCCGCTGGGTGGAGAACTCCAGCTCCACCACGTCGTCGGCCTGTGCGGCTCCAGCCTGGGCGCGAGGGGACAGGGCACCGAGGGCCCCAAGAGCAGCAGCAGCCGCAGCCCCGGCAGCATCGCGCCCACCTGGCGTCGCCCTCGCGCGCTTCCTCGGGTCCCCGGGTCCCGCGGGCCCACGCCCGCTCCGGCGCACCCTCCCGCCGCGCCCTGCATCCCGCCGCTCCTCCCCTGCATCCCTCCCACCGCTCGCTCCTCTCCCGCCCTGCCTCCCGGCTCGCTCGCATTTCCTTGCAGCTTTAGCTCGGTGGCGGTCACATCCACTTACGAAATCGCGCACACCCATCGGGAGGGAGCGGAGATGGCTCCGATCCAAACGCCCGGGAGGCCTGAGGAGCCGAGCTCCCGACGTCCTGCGTGCCCTGCTGGGGGGCACAGCCTTTCCCTCTCCTAGGTCCCATCAGACCAGAGTGCTGACTGCCACTAAAGCCTCCAGTAGAGCGTTCTTCGCATCCCTTCCCATCTGGCTTAGAACGCTGCTCTCCAAATCTGATGAGCCTTGTGTCCCCTGGCAAGAGCTGTTTTTCGGTAGCTTCCTTAAACTGCAGCTGCAAAGAGGTCAGCCCGCAAAAGTCTTTACCAGTGTCTCATGACAACAGTATTTGGCAGAGCCATAGAGAATTAGGTGCTCTGACATTTGATACTGGGAGCATGAAGCCCCCATAAAAAAATGAAGAGTGTGCTGCCCACCCTGGGTACTCTATATGTTTATCTTTAGCTGTTGCCAAATTTTTCTGTAGTTTTCTTTTGATGCTTTCATTGATGTAGAATGAAATGACAGCAAGGGCCAAGCATTTAGTGCCTAGTGTGTGCCCATCAGGATGAGAAGAGTTCTAGTCGTGTTACCTACCTTGAACTTTCACAACACATCTGCCAAACATATTTTCCTCATTTTACCCTGGAGGACCCAAGCCCTGAGACAGGAACTTGTTCAGGTGTCAGACCTGAGATGTGATGCAGTTACACAAAGCGCCCCCCCCCCCCCCCACACACAGCCTGTCTCCGCTGAAATGCCATTCCCTGCAGGAAGCTTTCCCTACACCTCCAGGCAGAAGAAGTCCCCCAGGACACACTGGCATAGGATCCTGAACCTGTGAGAGGTGACCACAGGCATTAGTGCTGTGATGTCGCACAGCACTCTTGTCTACTGTATTCCAAACTCCCAGAAAGCGGAAGGAGGCTTTGTCTTGCACTCTGTGCTCACCAAGGCTCACACGTGGCACTTAAAACGCCTCCCATAAGTATTTGTTGAGTAAACAAATGATCCTCCAAACCCTTACACTTTTCTGCTTCGATTGCAGCACCAATAAAGTAATAAATAAAAATGGATTGTTTAAGGAGGGGGATGAGAAAGAGTAACAGAGGGGGTGAATCCACCCCTTTGTACAACTAATCTATACTAATTAAATGTAAAAACTGGATTATTTTGAAATGTGTACCTAATTCACATCAGATAAATGCATGGTTAATTTTGCAACCTGAATCAGGTTGATATCCAGCAATGATGGTGTACATAAAGAAATAAAAAAATCATCCTGCTGCTGCAGAATGGAGGTAGAAAAGCAAAGATGAGGTTCTTCTTTTACCTTTGTCAGGCATTGATCCTACATCCCACCCTTTGTCCTTGCCTAGTGTTGTCATGGGCAAAATCACACCAATTTCTTTGGAATATTTGGGTGATTTGAAAACCGGATGGTGGTAAGTTTTCTAAGTTTCAATATTCATGACATCCTGAGATGTGAGCCAGTGCAGTCTACACCTAAGTTACTAATATGGAAACTGGGAAAACACAAATGAGGAAATAAAGAGAAGCCACTTGCTCACATGACCACCTCTTGGCTGAGAGCAGAGGTTTCTGGCTCCTGACTCAAAGGTAGTTGCTTTCTCCCACTATGATGGAGAAGAGGATAATAGGTACATGGTGGGGAGGAACACATGGGAATTTTAATAGAAAGTCATTTCAGAGATGCTATAAAGAATGTGTATTTTTACAGCAAATTGTAGTTCACATGTATCCAGCTAAAGCCCTTGCTTGCATCCTAGTCCTTGGGAAGGTGTGGAATTTTAGAATGGTTTTTCAACCTCTAAGAGTTTCAATTTCTTCATCTGTAAAGTGCAGGTAACAACACGTATTTCAAAGTGCCATTTTTTGAAATTAACTTATTTAGTATATGTAACACACCTAGCTCCATGGGAAGTACATCTTTAACAGATGAGAAGAGTTTTTAAAAATCAGCCTATTTAATCTTCACAATGACCTTGTATAGTATGAGAGCAGCTTTCTAATTCCAAGTCCAGAATTTTCCTACAATACTGCCCAGACTTGGTGACTCACAAATTGGTGCTAAACATGACTTAGATATAAAAATCTTCAGACGAGCTAGGCTAGTTCAAGGGAATCACTTAACAGTTAGAATGTAGTGTCTTTCCATGTGGACTTCAGACTGATTTGCAGTGTGACACTAGGTTTTTAGAGATTCATGCGAGATTTGCCTGGCCAACGAGTACAAACACTCGTAAAACAGTAGGCTGATTTCAGGGTATTTCCAGAAAATAATAATCTTTCCTTGTCTGTTTAGAAAATTAAGATTTTCCTACTGTAGAAGTCTGTTAAAGGAGCCAAACTTTTGGAATTTATAAACAGGCTGTGTAAACAGTTATATACTGTATAGTTTAATACATTAGGCTATAACTTCCTAAAGTTAAGTTTTAATTATTTGGTGACCTTTAGATCACAATACTCTAGAATCTGGGCATGTTGGTACACCTCTAAATCCAGCATTCAAGAGGCAAGGCAAGAGGATCGAGAATTGGAGGCCAGTCTGGACTACATAGCAAGACAAGACCTTATCTAAAAAACAAAACAAAAAAATATATAAGGGACAAACAAAATCCAATACTCTAAAATAAGGGCAAAAGAAAAGATTTGCTAGATACTGAAAGTACAGAGATCATGCCGTTCTTCAAGGTGCTTTCACAATTCCATCTTCATCTATTCATTCAAATATTTGCCTGCCATGTACTAAGCACTGGGGCACACGTCAGCAAGTAGCAAGCAGGAATGGTTCTCATGCTTTGCATTTTTACTGGGAAAGTAAAAGTTATCTATTTATTTATTTATTTATTTGGGCAATAGTGGGGCTTGAACTCAGGGCCTCATGCTTCCTAGACACATGCTCTTCCACTTGAGCCATGCTCCCGGTTTTTTTACTTTTTAGGTTATTTTTCAGATAGGATCTTACTTTTGCCTGGGGCCAGCCTTGAACCCAAGTCCCCCCATCTTTACTTCCCACATATCTGGGATTATAGGCACACTTACCATGCTTGGCTTAGATAGTATTTTTTTTTAATCACACTAAAGTTGTAAGTGTGGTAGGTGCTCTAAAAATGATGATGCTTCACACATAGATGAGTGAGGATATGAATTTGGGATGGAGGGAGCGGGGTCCCTGAGGAGATGACACTTGAGTTGAGATCTGAAAGGTGAGTAGACAACTAGAAAAGGGGGTGGAGGGGAGATTTCATTCCAGGCTTAGGGGATGGCATTGCAAAGGTCCTGAGGTATGAGGGATCAGGGAGAGTAAGGAGAATGAGAGAATGTTCAAGCACCTGGATTAGAGAGAGCAAGGGGCCAGCTGGGGAGAAAATATTGCAGAAACTTGCAGTATCCCTGTAATAATGGGAACCATTGAAAGAGCTGCAAGCCAGGGGTGAAGGTGTTATATGATTGGATTTATGATGGATTATATTTATATACATACAAATCCATATATATAAATAAATCCATATATATGTATATATATGAGGTGGTACTGGGGCTACACCTTGAGCCACTCCACCAGTTCTTTTTTTTTTAAAAACTTATGTATTTATTTATTTATTCCTTTATTATTGTGCTGGGTGGGGTACATTGTGGCATTTACACAGGTTCTTACAATGTATCAAATATATCATACATGAATTCACTTCCTCAACCTTTCTCCTTCATTCCTACCCCCCATTCCTGGAGTAGTTTCGACAGGTATCATTTTTGCATTTACTAACGTGTGTGCACATTTTTTGCAAGTTATTCACCCTCCTACTTCCTATCCCCAACACCTCCTCCCTCCTTTGAGTGCCAGCCCTCTACTCTGGGCAGGACTTGTTCTGCCTGCCTTTCTGTTCTCTGAGTTTGTAGGAGAAAAAAAGAAAAAAGACAAAACAAAAAACCATGATACTTTAGCTTGTTTGGGATAAAGGTAGCTACACTGGGAATTTCCTTTTGATATTTCCATGTATGTACGTGTTATAATCCCAATTCCAATCAGCCCTTTTTGTGACAGATTTTTTTCAAGATAGAGTCTTGCAAACTATTTGCCTGGGCTGGCTTTGAAATTTGATCCTCCTGGTCTCTGTCTCCTGAATAGCTAAGCTTATAGGCATGAGCCACCAACACCCTGCCAACTCTTTTTTGTGTTGAGTATTTTTGAGACAAGATCTCATGAACTATTTGCCTGGGTGGCTTTGAAACATGATCCTCCCTATCTATGCCTCCTGAGTAGCTAGGGTTACAAGCATGAGCCGCCAGCGCTCAGCTGGATTAATATTTTTAGAGGGCAGATTATAAATGTTGGTTTCTCTGTTGGGCTGTAAGGAGCAGATTGTGAGAAGTCTATGAGAACTTGACATAAGCACAATTGTGCTCAATGATCTACAGGCTGAGTTTGGCATGGCCCCAGCCACAGAAGAGAGTGAGAGGCAAAATGCAGCACAGCTGCTTTTCCTAAGTTGTTTATGTTCAGAGAAGTAGGAATGCAGGTTTCTCTTGTTACAATGTCACACCCCCCCAGAGAACTGTTGCTCCACCTCTTTGTTTACTACCGTATATAAAAGACTCACTGAAGGAGGACATGAGATTTTTTGATGGGGGATTGATTGAAGGTTTTTTTGATGGGAGATGGATCGATTGGTGGGCTGCTCAAGAGAATGACACTGCTGATAAAGGAAATGCAAATTAAAACCACACTAAGATTCCACCTCACCCCTGTTAGAATAGCCATCATCAGCAACACCACCAACAACAGGTGTTGGCGAGGATGCGGGGGAAAAAGGAACCCTCTTACACTGTTGGTGGGAATGTAGACTAGTACAACCACTCTGGAAAAATATTTGGAGGCTACTTAAAAAGCTAGACATCAATCTACCATTTGATCCAGCAATACCACTCTTGGGGATATACCCAAAAGACTGTGACACAGGTTACTCCAGAGGCACCTGCACACCCATGTTTATTGCGGCACTATTCACAATAGCCAAGTTATGGAAACAGCCAAGATGCCCCACCACTGATGAATGGATTAAGAAAATGTGGTATCTATACACAATGGAATTCTATGCAGCCATGAAGAAGAATGAAATGTTATCATTCACTGATAAATGGATGGAATTGGAGAACATCATTCTGAGTGAGGTTAGCCTGGCCCAAAAGACCAAAACTCGTATGTTCTCCCTCATATGTGGACAT